GGTATTCTTGTGATGATCGGTGATTAACGAAACTAGTGAAAAATGAAAAACAATGCCAGCCTGCTATTGGGGTCCACAGCTGAGTTAATTCTAGTCCTAGTTGATTTTCCCGAGCAGCAAGTATTAGAAAGCGATGGAAATTGAGGTGCGTGGGGTGTTGGACGTCGCATGCCTGCGGCATGCCTTTCGGTCCCTGTGTGCACGCCACGATGCCTTGCGAAGCCTGTTCGAGGCCGAGGAGCTACGGGTTCAGGAGTCCAGCTGTTTGGACTTCCAGTTTGTGGAGCTTACAAACTTTGAGCTGGATTGGCTCTTGGACCAGCAGTATGAGGTCTTCAACTTGGAGACCGGCCCATTATGTCGGGTCCGCGTCTTACAAGAAGCTGAAGACGCTTGGGTTCTCCACTGGACACTCCACCACGTGAGCGTGGACCTCTGGAGCTATACGATCTTGCTCAAGGACTTGGCCTACGCCTACAACCAGTTGATCTCCACAAGCAGCACGGACGTCACCTGGCCCACCGAAGCTCCACAATACCGGCCAAGGACTAAGTACTGCTACGTTAGAATCTTGTTCACGTGATTCCTTCCTCTGCTGAGGGACTATGCCCTTGCGGAGTGGCAGTTTTGGGGTTCGGAGGAGGGGCAGAGGAACCTGGAACATTGGCGCCGGAAGTTGGGTGACCCTCCCCCGGTAAGGGAGCTGCCGGCGGCCAGAGTGGCGGCAAGCCGGGAGCCCAACCGAGCGAGTTTCAAAGGCAGCAAGCTGGAGCCTTGGCGTGTGATGGGTTCAAGACTTCGTTTTGAAGCAAGAAGAAGCATCTGAGTCTCAGGACTTTGAAGTGAACTTTGAGCTCTCTGAAGCACTTAGAGAGCTGGGTCGCCGCTGTCAAGCCTCGATACACTCCACCTTGCTTACTGCCTGGATGGTGCTGCTGAGCAGGTATGGTCAGGACGGAAACAAACTTGCCAAGACTTTACAGTTCTGAAGGCGGCAATCTCGCAATTCTGTAGACTTAGGCTTGACTCGCAAACAGCCTCCATCTCAAAACACGGAACGGGCAGAGGCCAACACTCTGAACAAGGTCTGGAGATCCACTCCTCGCAGAACACGTTTTGCCATCTCGCCATGTACCAGACACATCGCCGGATCATGCCCGCTGTTGTAATCTGCAAACCATGAGCTGCAAGTCACCTTGTCTGGCAGCTAGGCAGATGTCGCAAGCCAAGTACTGTGTCAACAACAACAACAACAAGAAGAAGAACAGGAGAATGCACAACAAAGGTATCACCAAAACGGCCCAGCACGCAACAACATGTGTCTCTGATGCAGATCACCCATTCAAGTGCGGGTGGTTGTGCGGCCATTCACGGAGAATCCTGCATTGGTTTCATTTCTGATAGCTGCATGGTCTGGAGAGAGGACGAATTCATGCAGTCATCTCTTCAGTAGCTAGTTAACTGCGAAACAGGTATCCTTTCTTGTATCCTACCGGTCCCCACCCAAAATCGACACACTGTTTTCGTCATCGCGCCAGGAGGAGGACATTTGTGTTGGCACGCCCATGGCGTGCCGCACCACGGCCGAGTCTGAGGCCACAGTTGGTTACTTTGCAAACCCAGTGTGCATACGTGCAGCGGTCTCTGGCAGTTACATAAAGCTGCTTCGGGCTGTGGCCGACGATGTGGCAGAAGCTTTGCAACATCAGCGAGTCTCACTAGTATCTGTCTGTGAACAGTTGGGCTTGGATTTGCGCGCGTTGCTGCAACCAATGTTTGTATTCCAGACGTGTCCCGACGAAGCATACCAAGCTCGACTGCCATCCTTCTTCATGGGGCATGAAGGTTCGGAAATTTCACTGGGACAGCTGCGCATGGAGTCCATGGGGCTCGGACAGCGCTTCGCACAGTTTGATCTTGCCTTGATCATGGCAGAAAGCCACAATGGTCACCTCATCGGCAGCTTCCAGTACAGCACCTCGTCTTACACTCGTGATGCGGTTTTACGGATACAGGCTCAATACCTCAAAATCCTACGCTTCATGGCCAATGATCCCTCAGAAGACGTTGGCCAAGTTCCTTTGTTTCTGGACGAGGACACAGGGGTGGGGGACACAGGGCGCACGAGTCTGTGATGCGGCATGGTCCGCATCAATTTAGGTCAAAGTCACAGCCGAACAGGGAGGCGCTCAAGCATGCTCAAGCCCTTTCTAAGCATGCGGCGTGCGCCCGGGTCCTTGCCAGGACCTTGCAGAGCTGCGACGGCGGGCAAGAAGCCCGTGGCTTCAGGCCGAGTCACAGAGTGCAACACCCAAAGAAACATAACTTTCAGCTCATAAATTACACTTTGCTTTGTGCTTTGCAATTTGCAACTGTGCTGAGTTTTTGTTTGCTTTTGTTCCATAGAGGCATAACTTCTCAAGTAATGGAAATGGTGGGAAAACCGTGTTCCTTAGTGCACGTGGACTAAAACCCCCCCAATAAAAGGATGGGTGCGGCTAAGCCTCCCCCGGCTCAGTATGGAAGAAACCACAGGACTTGCCGCCACGCGTCTCCATACCTGAGCTCGTGGTGGCGCGAGCAGCGGAGAACCCTTCCGCCTTCGCAGTGGTCAGCCCGCAGGGCACTTACACGTTTGGCGAGGTTGTTCGACGCGCGCAGCTCCTGGCCGCAGCGTTGCTACGGCCACCAGACACTCGGGGCAGTCGTCAGGGCAGCTGGCAAGGCAATGAGGGCTGGCAGAGCCAGGAACTTCTTGGTTGTCGCGCGCCATGCGCGCCGCTGGCAGAGGAGGAAGCCTCTGATATTTTCAACTCAGACTGGCTGGGGGTTGCTTTCATTGGCCTTATGGTCAGTCCTGGGCCGTGGATGGTTTGCGGGCCACTGGGTGCATGGATGGCTGGACGGGGTTACTTTGCTCTGGATTCCATGCACCCTACCGAACGCATTCAGCAAATGGCCCAAGATGCAAAGGCCCCAGGTCCTGCCCTGTTCCGCTCCTAGTCACTCCGAGCAGAAAGCTGAGGCACACCCGCAATGCATCGTTTGCGAGCGCAAGGTTGAATCCATTGCCAACTCTCTGGGCTGGCCAGTCCTAATCGTGGAGGCTGCGTGCGTGAAATTGAGTTCAAGCCAGCATCCATACCCCTCCGAAGGACCTACAAAGCCAGAGGCGAAGACACTGCATCAATCCCTTACGCTTGTCCATTCCCCATCATGCTGATGACAAGGCAAGCACCCCCGTGGCCCTATCTTGCCAGCGACGCTCACGCACTGCTTGTGTTCACCAGTGCTGCCCTGACTGGCTCCCGTCGCAGTGCACCCAACGCGTCCAGCGCACGCCGCTTGATCCTTAGGTGGCTCCACTGGCCGGCCCAAAGGCCTGCAACTAAGAATGGACAAGCATCGCCGTCCTGCGCCACTTCAGCATAGTTCTTCTTGACACCAGCACTCAGCATGTCATCTGGGAGGTGTTTTGCTCTCGATGCAAGCGCTGCTAGCGCACGTCCTGTTCAGCAGTCGGCACTTTGGCTTCGTAGCTGGGCAGGCGGCTGGATGACGGTAACTTGCTTCTAAACCGTGCTCTCTGACTCCAGGCGACACTGCAACATACCTCTTGGACTTTCGATGCGCCCAACACCCAGAATTGAAAATCAAAATCCCAGGAATAAAGATCTGCTCAGCCCTGCTCTGCGGCTGCTCTTCTTAGCCAAGGCCTCTTTGTGAAATTTGGCCGACAATGCTCGCGGGTGCTACTGTTGTCATCAGCAAGCGGGAGGGCAGCAAGGCGCGGAGCTGCGGAGCTTAATCATCATGCGGGTTAATGCGGGTTAACTAACTTGCGCTGCTGTGCTGAATGTCTCCAGGACTTCCAGTATCTATCTTCCCTGATTGACGAACAGCGGGTGAGCCACACTCCCAGCGCGACACGACACTGCGTCACCAAGCTGCCGAGTGCTGTTGCTTGAGGCCATGCTCTTTTTGTGCCCTCGTTGCTCGCCGACGCTGGGTTGGGCTTAAGGCTTCAAAAAAGGCTTGTAAAAAAGGTGAGATGTTTGAGTTTTTTTTCCGAGGAAATCTTGGAGCACCAAGCTTTGCCCAGAAGTTTGCGAAGTTTGGCCGTTGTTGGTGAAGCCTGCTCGCTGAGCCTGGCACGGCGCATCTTGGAGGTTCAGAGGGGCTTTTGTTGGTTGCTTCTGCTTTGCTTCCACGCATTCTATGCGTTTCAGGCCCCACTGTCCCTGAATAACTTCTACGGGCCCTCAGAAGCTGGCATCGGGGCCACCATCTACGAGGTGTGGAGCTTGCATGCTTTAAAGCTTTTGCCTTGCTCCTGAGCACTAGGTGGACAAGATCGGTTCCGTTCCTGCCCATGCGAATGCCCCAAAGACCCTTTTTTTAATACAGATTTTTCTTGCAAGACCCGACTGATTTTGAAGTCCAGCTGAGCTGAGGTGCAGAGCTTGCCGATCGGGCGACCAGTCTCATGGCACGAGGTCGGCTGGCACACCCGGAGCACGGGTGCTTTTCGTATACTGCACATCAAGATACCGTGAGTAGAGTCAGGTCATTCTGGCAGCAACTCTGGCTCCTCAGGGTCGGGGCTCCACGTAGTCTTGCCTTTATTGCTTGCCTTCGTAGCATGGAGCCTGGAAAGATTGGAGACGTTTGGTCGAAAGAGACATACAAGTCAAACTATCGCCTGGCGTACAACCACAACATTGCAGACTTCCCTGACCGAATCCAAACAGCCAATGCAGCGCGCTTGCTCCTGAAGAGCGCTGGAGACCCCGGAGAGAAGCTGCATTTTGGAAGTTGGCCGGTCAAGGTGACAAGTGGGGAATGCACAGGAAGCCAGCGAAGCCCCTACGCGGCAAAGAGTTTGGTCAAGGAGTCCATCTACAGAACAGACTTCCGGCATGGCCAGACTCCGGAGGCGGACCCTCACCTTGAAACCTTCCGACCGGTGCCCTGCCTGCAACATCTTGAATCATTCACATCCGCAAAGCAGCAGCCGCATTACTGATTCAATTTAAGAGAGAAAAAGACTATACGCGCGTCAGTATTTGTGCATTTTGGTTCAGCCTTCCTCTGGGAACAACACAGGGCCAGCGGATTGAAGGAGATTGGCCATAGATACCTTTGCAGTAAGAGCCCAGCCTAATATGCCAAACATGGCGCACAAGACCAAACATGAGGCGAAGGAGATGAGAGGCGAAAGCGGCAAAGAGCCCAGGCCCAGGCCACAAAATGCTTCGAAAGCACCAGGCAAGGGCAAGATGAAGGACTCCAACTTCAAACCTGGGCTTAGGGCCCATCCTCCGTTCCTCCTTCTCGTGGTGTGGTCCTTCTTAAACCAGGTAGACACGCAAGTTTTTAAGTGGAAGGGAGCGGAGTGCCAAAGGTGCGCGCGCCAGGGCCAGCACGTAGTTGGCCTTGAGGCCTGGCCCAGTGGGGTAAGAATGGCTAAGCTGTAGGTAATTGGGTTTACAGGTATACCTGATCCCCGCATCGATAAAAAGGCCTCGTCGCAGAACGGTGGCTGACCGCAGGCCCAGTGGCCCAGCCGAACAGAACGAAAGAAAACACGAACCACCTGAGCCACCTGACAACTCAGGTGGCTTTGCCCGGCAAGACGTGGAGCACGGAGCTTTGGGTGCGCAGTCTGCCCAAGTACTGAGAGGCGCTGCTTTGGCAGTCTCGCACAGTCTCTCACCGTCTCACTGACTGCTTGTCTCACACGAATGGTTTCACGAAAAAATTCTGCATGGCCATGGGGTGCCGTAGGCACCTGAAGCGGAGCGAAGCGGAGGGAAAGGGCTGCGAGGAAAGGTCAAAGAGTGTTGTTGGCATTCGTCTAAGAAATCGCATCGAGACAGGCTGCCAGATTCTGAAAAACATGGCAGGTGATCTTGCTGGACCCGCAGCTGCGTTTAGACCTTTGTGACTTAAGATGAAATTTCAGAGTCAATTGTGGCTTGAAAGTCAGGCCCTGCTCTGGGCCGTGGTCAAATTGGCATCCTGGGGGAGGCGTGAAGCCACACATGAAGCCACATATTCAACAACATGCAGATACTAACATTAAGATTGTTAACGCAAACGTGCGCCGCCTCGGCATGCTGGCTTGTATAGCAGCCTGGAACAAGACAGCCTCAAATCAACTTGTCTCTTCCTAGTGCCATCATATTCTTAGATCACCTTACCTTAGCATGTAATCTCCCCATAAAACCCCTTACAGAGCCCTGTATGACCTTCAAAAATACAATAAGATTCCCATAGCCCTGTGCAAGGATCCTCCAGCTGAAGGAGGGAGTGGAGTGGCGCGGAACATCTTTTTCTGAGAAGGGAGGGCCCTGGGTGGGGAAGAGGGGCGCCGGGCAATAAATTTCTGAAATTTGACCCCCATGCTTTCCACCCAGTTACGCCGTTCCTTTGGCAAGGGGGGTGAGGAGGCCGAGGGAGGCCACGGGGGGGAGTAAGTTTGTTGTTATGATTTGCCCAAATTCGCCGCAATCCATTTACCACATGGCCACCTCACACCATTGCCACTTTACCAAGAAACATCCATTTACCACCTCGCCAGCTCAGACATATCCATCTACTACATAGTCCCTTACACAATCACCCTAAATCCCGAACTGCCTAAAACCTTCCCAATTTATAGATCATGAACCTACTTGTGGCCTCCTTCAATAATTCGACTAAAACATTAATAGAATCAGAGGGTGTGACGGCGTGGAGGGCTGTTTTTTTCGAGTATACTTTCTTTTTTTTTTCGAGTAGGTTGTATACCTAGAGAACCTTTTACCCATAAAAAAGTGGAGGCAGCCTGAAGACCCGGGGTCTTATTTGGAAACCCGGGGTTTTGCATAAATGGAGATTGATGTTCCACACATGTTGTGAAAGTCGCTCACCCGTTCTTTCCGCGCCCCTGCGATGTCACTTGCTCTCCACAAGCATCTTTGATGCTACCCACTGCTTGTAGGCAGCTTGCAGGTAACGTTGCAAAACTCGCATGACCGTGGTGCGTGTGGAAACCCTCCTTGAAAGCCGTGACGGCCTTCCCACCAGATCCTCGCTCATCTGCGTGCTGAAGACCAAAGGATTTAAAGCCTCCCGGCTTGCGGCTCCTGCCTCCAGCAAGTCAAGGCCCATATGGTGCAGCACATGAAGTTTGGGTGGCAACCCGAACAGTGTACGCTGCTGATGGAACGCCTCTTTTGCACAGGCATCGTACCGCCTCAGAAAGCGGCACACAAGTTCTCCTGTCAAACGTGCCTGTTCAGGAGAAAGCCATGCATCCTCGGAATACAAGATTGTAACAAATCTGTTGATGGCCTTCGCACCATCCATTGCTGACTGCAATAAGTCGTCATCAAAGGTGCCATCCAAGGATTCAAAAAAACTCCATGAGATTTGTTGTAAGCGCAGCTTTGAACCAGGATCCAACCGGATAGTCGGTGGTCGTTGCCCATTGTATCAAATCCTTGTGCAGTCGCGGAACCACAGCAGACTTGGCTTGAGCTCGGCACCAGCTGTGATATTTGAATGTCAGCTTGTCAAAGCGCTCTTCTATGTTGCCAGTTTCAAGATCTGATAGCAGTGCTAAAATTGATCCAATAAATGACTTGCCAACCCCCAAATGGAAGGTGTGAAAAAGGTCAAACGCAGAGTGCGCAGCTAGCCTGCTAGGTTCGTTCTCAAGGCATTCAGCTGGGGGGAGTCTCTTGAAAGGAGATACAGTGTCCACACTTTGTTGCCAACTGGGTTGTCTCGTGCCAATCTCCTCGAAAGGAACGGGATGAGGTCCGGCTCCGCACAGATGACACATTCCACGAGCCTGTTGATCAGCATGCTTCACAGCGTTGGCGAATGTTTTGTCCAGGTTACCGGCTTTGGCCAAAAATGGCCAATCACCAGTTGTCTTCAGAACCACTGCCCAAAAGCGCTGACCATATCGGTCTGTCAGGCCGTCTCTGGATAAAGCAGCAGCATCCTCGTAAACCTTCTGCTGCAGAGCGTTGAAACTTCGGTCATCCTCAAAATAAAGATGTCGCGGAAGAACTGCAGTCACAAATCTTGTACAATACGTGTGCCCTTGAAGTTCAATTTCATTTTCACATACTTTTTGACAGTTCGTCCAGTTTGCTGTGCTCTCTTCTTTTGCTCTTGGAGATTCAGAACCGTGCCTCTGCCGAGGCAACTGTGAAAGGACATCACCATGAACGGCTGTCTTCTCCTGCCCCGCCCCTCGTCCCCGTGCAAAACAACAGCGCAAGTTCTGCTCACTAGCACGTGAGCTCTTCCGCGCTGGCCAGAAGCATGGCGTACTCTCCAGGCAAGCCGGAGAGTCAATGTTGTCGTACGTTTCCAGACGACGACGTTGGTGGAAGTTGTTACGCACACTTGACACCACCATTGAGCTCTCCGAGCCAATGAGGTGGGCTTGCCCGTCAGGAAGCCCTTGTCATCAAGGCTTGCGCCGAAGATTCTAAGAACTTCGACGCGCTGGTGGACCACTATTCCGGGGTCCACCTTCGTGAGGGCAAAACCCTTGGAGGAAGCAGCACAGCTCCTCGCTGAACCTTCCGCTACACCGGGAAGGGTAGCAAGTCGAAAGGGAAATCCAAGAAATTTACCCGCCGCCTATCCTGCAGTGTAAGAAGGCGAAGAAGATGAGGACTCCTGGTGGGAGGACTCGTGGGAAGGCTATCAATCCAGCCGCATCGTACGATGACGACCCTGAGATGGTACCCCACGAGGACCAGGATTATGAAGAGTATGAGCTCGATGAGCCAGAGGCCATCGCTCTTAACTCTATTCAAGAGCTCGATGACACCGCTGATGCGGGTCATGCCATCCAGCTGCAATTGGCAGCCAACGCAGCCTTCGCAAAAGCCAAAGGCAAGGGCAAGCGCCCTAAAGGCAAGGGCAAGGGTAAAGGTAAGGTAGTTAGATCACACCTTACCCTTGAGCAACGGCGAGACAAGCTCAAAGCCCTGAAGGCGAAGAGCAAATGCCTTCGCTGTGGTGGCACCGGACATTGGGCCGGTGACCCAGAATGCAAGTTCCCGAACGGGAACGGTAGCGGAGGTGGAAAACCCCGCGCCCATGTTGCCATTATTCAAGGCAGCTCTGCTGACGGTCTGCGTGTTGCGGCAGCAGCCGGTTCATACACCAGCTTTGTGGTGAACGAACGACAGCCATTGCCACCCCATCCGGGGCAAGGCTCTGGGCGACCGAAGTCGGCGCCAATGGCAGCCTCCTCGCGACTTTCGGGCGCGAGAGGATCGACAGACGCCTGCAGACCAATGGAAATGGCAGGTGGCGATCGGAAATTCTATATTGGTCAATTCAAGGGTAAGACCTACCCAGAGCTTCCAATATTGCTT